GAGAGGGACTTTTTACAAGGGCATGTAGTGATAGGACAAGGGGTAATGGCTTTAAACTGAAAGAGGGTAAATTTAGATTAGGTGTAAGGAAGAAGTTCTTCACTGTGAGGGCGGTGAGGCACTGGAACAGGTTGCCCAGAGAAGTTGTGGCTGCCCCATCCCTGGAAGTGTTCAAGGCCAGGCTGGACGGGGCTTTGAGCAACCTGGTCTAGTGGAAGGTGTCCCTGCCCATGGCAGCTGGGGGGGAACTAGAGGATCTTTAAGGTCCCTTCCAACCCAAACCACCGTTCTGTGATTCTGTTCCAACATTGCTCAGGCTGAATTTTTAATGTTTATAGGTTAGTATCACCTACCCGTATCCTTTCTTAGCATTAGACCTACAGCTGCTTATGTGAATGTGTGCTCCTTCAGACTGCAAAATCGCTTAATTCCTCAAATACCTGACACAAGCCTGCTGCAGGTCACTTGCTAAAGTTGAAATGCAAGAGTGCAAAGGCACAGTAACCCTTCTGCTAAAAATGGCACAGGAAAATTAAAAATCGGGTTTAGTTTTCTGGCTAACTCATGAAGCCAACATATGGCTAAAGGGGCTTTCTGCATGGTGCTGTTCCTCTCATATTGCTTGCTTACTAAATACTTAGAGGCCATTTAGTAGTAAGCTCCTACTCGTGGTGTGCTCAGAAAGCCTGGGATGTACTCGTTGCATGACTAGGTGAGCACACAGTCTCTGCTGCTGCTGCTTTGGGTGAAGGCAGTCAGCAGTTGTCTCTGTTTCTTCTGGGTCTGATGCTTCCTTCCTGCCCTTCCATGGAGACATCTTGCGATGTATTGCTTGGAGGGAGCCATCATCCTCCTGAGGCTGGCATGCCATGTGTGTTTGCAGGAAAAGTTCCCTTACGGTAAATCAGAGCCAGACCACTTCTGTAATGTTTTACCTGGCTGGGAAAGTCCAGATGTGCTGAAGCTCTCTGGTCTGCCAGCAGCGTTGTTAGGGTGCTGGGTGTTGGTTTGCTCAGCCATGCCTTCAGCGAGGTGGTTCTTGTTCAGGGTGCAGATTCTTATCTCTTTATTTTTATATTTTAGTAATTTGTGTTGGTTTTGAACAGTGACTTGACATAGCATCTAGATGAAAAATCAGGAATGGCATATAGCTGAGTAATTCTTTTTCCTCCCATAAATGTATTTTTAGGGCCTCTCTGCCGAACATGATGGTTTGGTTGTTTAATGTCCACAACTTTTATAAAATGCAACTGCAGGGAATGACAAAAGCGGTGGGTAGCCAGGTTCTAACCTGCATAGGGATTTGCATGTATTTAATTTATTAATGTTGGCAGATCTCTGCTTAATAGATGAAATTTACTTTTCACGTGAGTAGGTGGACTTTTTGTTTTTCTTCTGTCTAATTGTTTCAGAAAATGACAATGAAACAGCCTGCCTGTATCAACATGCAAGCAGTCAAATACCTGGGATTTATTTCTGCTGTATGCCCTGGACCAGCATTCAGATCAGCTTTAGTAGATTTGATGAGAATGTGTAATGTGTTAGAAACAGCATTGGTGTAACAGAGGATGTACTTGGACTGGGAGCTGGGTGAAACAGCTTTCTGGCCATACCCTGGTTTTCCCAGCTGCTGTGGCATTTGCCGTCACCGCCCTGCTTTTAATTACTATCGTGTTCTATGGCTTAATATTAAACCACATCTAATTGCATCCTGTCTCTTAATTGGCTTAACTGGCCATCACCCAAAAAGACTCTTCTGTGTATAGAAACAAGCTTCTCCAAATATTTCCTAATTGGCAGTTGGTTCTTTGTGAGGAGATGGGTCCCTCTCAGCGATATTAATAGATGTTTTCTTCTGTTCATTCTCAGGATTGGACATTGATCCTATGACGCATGCCCGGAAGAAACAACTTTTCCTTCTGAAACATCCAGCTGGTACTGCTGGCCAAGCTTCATCACCAACAGGCAGCAGGAGGATGGACAGGACCGACGCAGAGTGTGGTGAGCAGAGAGATGGAGATGCCACCGAGGCTCCGAACTGTCCAAGTGGGTTTGTGGGGACAAACAAAAGCAAGAATTTGCATGAAGTGCGAAAGACATACCCACTGAGGAGACGTCTCCTTCCCTCAGTGAACAAAAAGACCTGCAAAGTGCTCCTTACCAGGCTGGAGGATGTGGCTGGATCTCTGTCGAAACAGACTCAGAGCTGTAAAAAAAAGGACCTTCCCAGTTGGATGGAGGGTTTGGGACCTGCTTTGTTCTCCGAACAAGCTCAGCCTGTGGGAGGAGGGAAGAGTGATTCATCTGGGGAAAAGTGCACAATAACTTACCCAGGGACAGAGCAAGACCTTGATACTGCTCCTTCTGAGCCCAGGAAACGCAGGCTGGCCTCGCTGAATGCAGAGGCAGTGAACAATCTGCTTTTTGAACGGGACGATGGCTTATTATCCAGCAGGCGTTTTCGGAGGGACTCCATTAAAGCTGGTGGAGACTGCACTGTGAAGAGCTTGCATTGCAAAGCTGGTGACAACTGGCCTGTGCTGGAAAAAACAGCTGTGAAAACAGGTAAAGGAAAAAACCGGCATGAGCCCAGTCAGAAATGCAATAGCTGTGACCATTCACTGGATGAGGTCTTCGATGATGGGACAAAGAGGGAGGATGGTGCCATCTCCTATCACCCTACCCCAAAGAGACTGGCCAGCCTGAATGCTGTGGCCTTTCTGAAGCTGACCCATGAGAAAGACCAACCACTGAAGCAGAGGAGTAAATCGGATGGAGAAGGCAAGTCTGAGAACCACTGTTCAAAATCTACACTCAAATGGGCCAAAGCCGGTAGGAAGAATTGCGTCAAATCCAAGAAGGAAATGACTGGCTTAAAAATGGAAGGTCAGCATGGCTGGCGAGGACTTACTCTAGGTGCTTTTGGGAAAGGAGAGCAGCGGGACTCCTCTAGGCTCTACGGGACGACAGAACCTGTCCCTTATGAGTCACTGTCTAGCTCCTATGCTAGCACAGAGGGTTTCTACCACAGACTGCCTTTGCTTATGGGCGGACAAGCTTCCATGAAGCCGGAGTATGGAAGACCCGGAGAGAAATCCCCAACCCCCAAACAGGAATTTCATCAGCCTTCCTTTCCTGCGCAGCAGTTCCCTCCCTTGCCTGTGCCCGGAAATCACACGGATTGTGGATGTCTCTATGAATCCTCGGATCTGACTCCGTTGAACGGGTTTTACGTTTATTATGGCCAAAGTGGATACAGTGGCTACTCTCACTGCTCCGTTTACCCCAAGGACGAGCTTTCGCAATCTGCTACCTGCGAGGGGCTCTTGGTATCGCCCAGTTCCTTGCCATCAGGTGCTCATTTCCAGCCACTCCACTGGTGTAACTCTCCGTACTGTTGTGGAGAAGGAACGGCGATTAACAGTTACAGCGTTTGCGGAGTTGTGCACGTGCCAGAGGGCAGGATTAGCAGCGTGCACGCAGGACGGAACAGCTACCCCTACAAAATGCCTTTTGCAGCAGGTAAGGTGCAAAGTGCGAGCAAATCTCATTTGGTGTTCCTAGGAGAAGAGGGCTGGTTCGGCGCAGTGGCTAATGAAGGTATCTCGTTGCCAGGAGGCAAACTCCCTCTGCGCATGGTGCGTCTCAGCTTGGCAGCCGAACTGCGGCTCAGAAAGAATCTGTGTTTGGCTCCCCTTCCCCCATTTTTAGCCCTGAGGGTTTTTCCCACTGAAAGGTCTTATTGGTGTGGAAAGCATGGAATTGGTGAAAGGATTTGGGCAGTGAGAAGGTGACTCATGACTTGTCATGCTGGAGCTAACTGCATGGCTTTGATCTGTGTAAAATGAGTGGTTTTTAGTTCCTACATGCTCTGCAAGGCTTCTCGCCATCCTGCTGCGCTGCTCTGAGCGGAGGGTCTAAAGCACATCAGGCTGACTTACTCCTCCGTTCCCAAAAGCTCGCGCTCAGAACTGAAGCATCCTTGCAGAGCAGAGCGGTGTGAAGAAGCAGGCATTGACTCGGTTGTTAGACTGTTACTGGTGCAAGCTGTATGGGGGATGCAGTCTTTTAAGATTTTTATAAATCGGATCGGGCAGGGCTGTGTAACAATTTGATTTGAGTCTACTGTTTGAGCAGATGCTTGAACTTCACTGCGGTGATGTAAGTGCCAGGTACGCTTAGTTTGGTGAGTAGTGGTCCCTTCTTTGCTCTTAATGTCTGAAAATGAAGCACTGAAATGAGAACAGGTGACGGTGTAAGAGGTGATATAGTTATTTGCCTGGCTCTCTTCTGTCCTGTGTTTTTTCAGACTTTGTCCTCCAATGTGCTTTATCTTGGAGCTTTGCCTTTGCTGTTGAAAAATATCTTTTGAAATATTTAAAACTGGATTGTTGTGTGGGGGTTATCAGACACCAGTACTTTGTATAAAAGCCATCAAGCTAGGCAGTGCTGCCATCTGCAAACAGTACAAGGCTGCTTCTCCAACTGTTAGGAGTGTTAACATTGGTCTTTCAGTTAACCCCATGTTTGAGTCAAAAGGAGGCACAACTTATCCACTTAAGAGATTTTCAGGTAGGTGGATGAAGTTTTGGTTCAGTGCTCGGTTTGAGCGAGGCTTTGTTATCTTCCGTTGTAGGAAGCTGCTGAAACTCAGAAGCATTTGGTTGAAGTATAATTTCCGTTTTCCCTAAACATCCCTGCTGTCATGGTGCCGCTTCCTACGGTAGCAGCTAGACAGTGTTCACAAGTGGCTTCAATGCTCTTTAAAGTTGAATGCTTGCAAGACAACTAGCTCAGCAAAGTGTTCTTGTCTGACAGTTTTCTGTGTAGTGCCCTGAGGTCATGTCAGTCTACTTCGTTCCTGAAATTTTGCATGCTGGTGCCTCTGACTTTGTGCAACCAGAAGGATGCAGGTGGCGCAAACAGAGTATTTTTCGGAGTTCAGCCCTCCCTGCGAACTCAGTAATTTCTCATGGTGCTGGCAGGGGCAGTAGTGGTTCCAGGGGCATGTATTTACTAGTGGTGTGCCACCCCGCTGCTAAGATCTTCCTTGGTGTGGTTTCCTTCCTGTGAGCCACTTTGATTTAAAAGCCTACACCACTGGAATAATTCAAACTTTGTTTTGTGGATTGAAGTGTATGAGGAGGTCTCCTAGGATATTAATGGGGACTTATGCTTAGGAGTTGATCTTTATGTATGTGTGCACCTCTGAAATCTCACCCTTCCCTAGAGCGGGTTATTTTAGTGAATTAAAGGGGTACTTGAGTGCAAGCAACAGGCTCCCATCTGAGAGCACTGGTACAAGGGGATCCAGCTTGACATGTCCACGCCTTGTGTTATATCTGTCTATTTGGTGTGTTCAAGATGTTTGTATGGAAATATCGGTGTCTGTTTAGTATAAATCAAGGGATCAGGCTCTAATCTTGGGCAGTCGTGGTCTGCTGTATGCAGGAGAGAGGCATTGCTTTCCCCATCCCATGGATGGTTTGCAGCATGCAATTCAAAAGCAGGGTGGTGGGGATGAGGTCAGACAGGCTGTGAGAGATGCTTCAGCATCAGCGCTGGTGGAGGGGCTGAAGTGTGTGCAGCCAAGGAAGGAGTCCTGGGGGGTTCCAGCAAGGCCAGGTCTGTGCTTCTTTCCTGAAGTTTAGTAGATACTTCTGTGAAGCTTCATCCTGCTTTAGTTCAGGCTTGAAAACTGCTTTTGTAAGCAAAATCCTCAAGAGGTGATTCACTGCTCTGTGGGTCCTGTGCCTGCCAAGGCCAGGCAGGATACCTGAACTCACATCCTAATGTCTTGGCTGGCTGGGGGAGTTGCTGCGGCATTTTGCTGCTCAGGGTCAGCAAAGTCTCGTGACGGTCCGAAGCAGCCCTCACACTTGCAGTTCAGCGGCGGCTTTGTTGCAACCCTCTTAGGGAGGGTCAAGTGGGAGACAGGAGGCAATAATTTCCTGTTATTGCAAGGGGATCTCAGCAATTATTCAGCTGGAGCTTGGTGACTTCAGATGTTTTCTCACTTTCAGATTTTTTTAGCAGCTCTGCGGTGGTGCAGTCCCACAGATCTGCTAGGACATGCTTCAGTCTGGAGGCATCTCCTGGAGGTTGCCTGAAGCTGCCCTTTTTGTCACCCTGAAAAGCACGCTTTCTGATTTAGGGAACAGGGGTGTGTTGTATATTGGTCTGGGAGCTTTCTTCCTGCTGACGGTAGGTAATTCAAATCTGACTTGCTATTCTGTCAGACATGTTGGCCTAGGTTGAGGGCTTGTTTTGTGACTCCTGGAGCGGTGTGAGGTGTTCTGGGATGCTTTTGAGAGGCAGCGTCAGCCGATTTACTAACCTGTTGTGGTTAATGCGTCTGCTTTAGGGACACGGTTTTGCTGAAGGCAGCGGTGTGCATCATCTTATATAGTTTTGTTCCATGTTGTTTCATATTTCTGGAGTTAATTCGGAGAATCTTCTCAATTTTCCCTGATTAGTAGAATTTGGCTTTTTGAAAGAAGCTGGCTGCTTGTGCTAGTATGGTTTAATCCTTCCCATCGTTATGATAAGCCTTTTATTTCTTTTATACATACTGACAGGCTGGAACTGCTTTGGACACTGGCCAACCTTATGTTTATTACTGGCTGGCATTACTTCGGGGGATTTTATATGGGTTTGTTATAGTGCAGTGTCATCGGCAGCAACATATTGGAGCATCGCAGGCTTAGAAATATCTTTGCTCTTAGAATCCAGTGACAGTGCAAAATGAAATTACAACGTGAAGAGTCTTTACTGCTGTAATGCAATAAAGGGAATTTCAGGGGGAAAGCGGTGGTAGTTTGGGACAGTCTTGATTGTGTACTTGTCTTATATTTCAAATGAGATACATGCCTCTTTTCTTCCCTTCTGTTAGAAGGCTGCAAGTCTCTGGACCAGCTGAACCTCACAATCCCTGTGGCAGGGCACCCCGCGTCACCTGCCCACCCGCTCTCAGGATGTCCTGTACCCAGTGTGCCACCGGCTGCAGAACCCGTTCCTCATCTGCAGACCCCCAACTCTGATCCTCAGACCATGGCCCGAGAATGCCCACAGAGCTCAAAGCCTCCCAGCGGCTCCAAATCCGGACTCCGAAATACTACGGGCTGTCTCCACGCCTCCGACAGCAAAGCAGCGGGAGGTCATTCCCATCCAAAGCAGCAGCGCATTAGCAGGCGGAGAGCTACCAATGGCTGGATACCGGTTGGCGCAGCCTGCGAGAAGGCCGTCTACGTTGTGGTAGGTGTCTGGAGTGCTGGTTTGTGTGTGTGTACGGCTGTACCCATTTGTGCATCTTCAGGGGACTAAGATCACGAAGGCTTGAGAGCGTTTTGGGTCTGGCTTCAAGGTGGAGATGGTCACTAGATGCCATCTAGAACCCCTTGGACAAGCAAATAGTGCCTTTTGGCTGGGCCTCAAGGCTGAGCTGCTGTTGGCTTTTTCTCGTGTGCCCTGGTATTACCTGGCACAGCATGACAGATGGTTTGGAAAGGAAGGAAAACCTGCTACTCCTGTGCTAGCATCAGCTGAAACACCATGATGATGAATACTTCTGGCTTCGGCATTTGCAAGGGTGGCACCTGTTACACCTGTGAGTCCATCCTACAGAGAGATCGTCCCTCAGCTTCTTCCTCCTGGATTAGGGCAAACCTGTTTGAGAAAATGAAGTAGGTTTTAGCCTCGTTATAAGGAGCAGTTGTCTAAAGGTAGCTCTTGTGAGGTGGTTGTTCTCACTGATGGTGTCTGTAGCCCAGCAGGGTTCTCCCAGAGAGCAGTGAGGACTGAGACAGTATCCTGGCTCCCAGACAGAATTTTTCTAGCACCCAATATCTCCCTTGTAACTTATCTGGTGTCACGGCCAGTCACTCCTTCAAGGATTTCTTGTCTGTGCTTTGCCATTTGTTGTGTTCAGGGGCAGAGACTGGCTCCTGCAAGATGGGAGATTTCCTGCCAGAAAACTTAATTAGCTACAGAAAAGTCCACTTCAATTGAGAGAGAAGGCAACATCCTTCATCTTATTAAGACATAAGAGCTGTGGACTTGAAATCTGGACCCGCATGCTGTCTGGGAAGTTGGGACAAAGCGTTGAACTGCATGTAAATAGTAATGTCAGTAGTGAAGAGAGCTGTGGTCCAAACGGACTTGTCTGTGCTGCCATTTGGTGTGGTGGTATAACCTCGAGCTGCTGAGAGCATCATCCAGGACGGGTTCTGTAGCTTCAGCTCTTAGGGCTGTGTACAGGTACCAAGGGCTGTGCAAGGATGAAGCCCGTGAAAGCCAGAGACGGGCCTCTTGCATCCATCGCTCAGACTTTGACGCTTTGAAAGGAGCAGTGCACTGTTAATCTCCTTAAGTCCTGGCACATAATGCTTCCAACTTTGCCTGGGTGATCTGGCAGGAGGTTAAACCCATCCTGCTCAGGCATTCTGAAATGAGTTTTCAGGCAAAATAAAATAACCCTCCCCCAGTTCATAGTCCAAAAAGTGATCATTTTGTAATGTTGGAGGCTACAGAGGAAATGGTAGCAATCTCGTGAATGAAAGATTTATGCCACGGCCTCCCTGCCACTCCCTGCCCTGTTCATGTGAAATGTTTCGTGTTTCATCTGTTATCTTACAATGTTTGTATCAGATAAATGCATAGCATTCAAAATATGCCTAGTTTTCCATGCCTTTGATTATGAAGGAAACGCACACCTACAGGTAGGCAGGTAAAATGGTGATTTTTCTGAAGGTTTTTGTTTTTTGCATGCAGAATTGAAGGAGCAGTTGGTTTTTAATTTGAAATAAGGGTGTTCATTTCAGAAATATGTGCTTTTGTGAGACCTGCTGTCCCACTGATGAGCTGCTTCTTACTGCCAGCACTACATAGGAAAAATAGTAGAGGTTTGTCTCTTGCTTTATTTGAAAACAATGGCCACGTATGATCTGTGAGCACTTGGATGCTACTCCTTGTTGAACCTTCTTTACCTACAAGTGCCCTACCCATAGAAAAAGTAATTTGTTTGACCTGATCTTTGTTGTTATAAGCCAGCCTGGTGGGAATAGAGATGCCATGAGTGGTCTTATGCTGTATGACTTCTCTGAGATCTCTTGGAATGGAAGCACTTAGTTCTGAGTAGGCTTAGGCAACTTTCTAGTTTGTGGCGGGACCAAGGAGTCTTGGATTGGGGTAGCAAACAATAAAGTATAACTCTTTGCCTATACACTCTGGTGGCTTTATTTTTTGTGTGTGTTCTAATGGTATAGAATGAGCCAGAGCCAGCTGTTCGCAAGAGCTATCAGGCTGTGGAGAGAGATGGGGAGATTATCCGGGTACGAGATACTGTCCTCTTGAAATCAGGACCCCGGAAGAAATCTATGCCATATGTTGCGAAGATATCGGCACTGTGGGAAGACCCCAAAACAGGTACTGTGCCAAAAGAATATGTATTGCCTTTGTGCTTGACAGATGAGGGTGAGTTGGAACCGGGGAAATGATGGATCTCAGGAGAGCTGCAAGCTTGTTAGGGTACTCCACTGCTGCCAGACCAGGTGATAAAGAGGAAGAGGTTAGCTCCATGGCTTTTGTTCAGATGGTTCCAGGAACTGAAATGCTCTTTAATCACTAGCCTGGGACTGGTAATCAAAATCTTCCTGGTCGTGAAAGCGCATAATATCTGCCAAGTGCCCGTCTTAGCAATGATCTCCTTTATTATTTCATTGCAGCAGACATCTCAGGAGCTGCTGTTTACTCAAATGCTCTATCCAGCATCTGGGCTGGGAGTTGGTGTGCAGCACAGGCTTGTCTGTGGAAGCTCTTGATGGGACCTGAGTGGAGGTGGTGATTGGAGTGGTGTGGTTTTGATGTTAAGGTCCTGTGTCTGACTAGCGATACCTGAACCAAGGAATCTGTGCCAAATGTTATAAAGTAAAGGTCTTGCTTAAAAGTTTTTTTTTTAAAAAAAAAGTTATGCGTAAAAGACGTGATCAGTGTGTGGTGAGGCCCATCTTGGTTATGTCATCCTGTGACAGCAATTCTGGCATGAACCTGTGAGTTAACGTTGCAAGTACCGAGCTTTGGATGAGCATCTTTGCCAGCTTGCAGTCTGAATGGATACATTTTTCAGATGGAAATGTTTGATTTTGTTTTTTGGGGTTTTTTTTGTGTGTGTGTGCGCGTCTGACCTCTTTGTGATGATGTAACACAAGTAGAAGGGGGGGAAGGTGTAACGGAATAGCAATGTGACCGACTTCATACAGCCTCTTGCTGTAACAAAAGGACACCTAGTTCAGCATGAAATATTTATCACTGCACAGCTGCCTCTACGTGAGCGCTGTGGGAATGAAAGGGATGAAGCAGGAGGAGGAAGCTGGGTATTAGTGGGAAAACACTATGAGAAAACTGAGGCTTGACGTATTTTAATAAATCTTCTTGCAGGGGAGCTGATGATGAGCCTCCTGTGGTATTACAGACCGGAGCACACTCAGGGAGGCCGCAACCCCAGTATGCACCAGGTGAGCCATCCCAGTGTGAAACTCAGGGTGGGGGTATCCTGGTATGTCTGTATTTCTGCAGGAAGAAGGGATTACCCTGACTATCTCCCTGCATTCCTGGGTGGCCTCAAACTCGGGGCTGAGCTTCTGTTTTGAGTAAAATGGAGCTGTCTTTTGGCTGTGATGCAGCTGTTGCCAGATGTGTTGAGTGGTGGTGTCCCATAGATGGGCTTTTCCCCAATTTATTGTCATGTGTAGAAACTCTGGGCTGTAACAGAAGCTGCTGCGTTCTTTACGTGGCTGCCTCTGTTAAGTTTTAATGTTTCTCCCTTTAATCTGAGAAAATTGTGCGCGTTAAGTGAAAAGTTATTTTGACTGCCACCTTAGGAGTAAGGAAGAGTGAGTTAATACTGAATCAAGATCAGATGCCTTTCTGAAAAGGGTATTCTAATTCACCCAGAAATGCAGAGCTCGATGCAAAAGCTCGTGCTGCAATTCTGCAGGACATTGGAGTACCTATATCATGTGCTGGCTTTTTAACATAAATCCTTTAATCTGCTTCTTAAACTCCAGAAACTTGTTTGTTTTGTGCAGGAACGTGGATGCATCATCCTTCCCCTGTATAGATTTATGAGGAGAATTAAAGACTGTCTTGAGGATGTTGTGCCAGTATAATAGAGTTTGCCTTTTAAAAGGAGAAATGTGTGAATCATTATGACTTCACACCTTGCTCTGCTTTGCACGGGCTTGCGTTGGGTGACAAGATAAGCTGTTTTTAAACTGGGAATGGAGAATTTACTGCTGTTTTCAACCCACCAAAATACTTGGTGTATTTTTCCTTTATTTACTTTTTTAAATAAAAGAGGAGGGAGGTGGTGGGTGAGAGCAGGACTGAGGAAGAGCCAGGGAATTGTACCTGCCTGACTTGTAGGGCACAGATGAGTTTCTAAACCCAAACGTGGTACCTTATAGTTTTCTGGTCTGTAAATGAAGTGTGACCATATCCAGTTGCATTTTAGTGTAGAGAGAGTGCCAGTAGTCTGGCCAGGAGGAATTAAGCCAGTTTCTTGCACACCTGCTTAATTACACAAGACTTCAAATGAGAGAGTACCATTTCAGCTGAGTAGCCGGGATGGGCTTGCCAAAGATGACTCAGATAGTTTTGATTTAAGGAGTAGACCAAAACCCCAACGTGCAGAAGCAAGGTGTGGCATTTTCAGTTTCTCTGATTAAGCATGTCCCCAAACGGTGACCCTTTTGTGAGTCTTTCCTTCCAGCTTGCTTCCTTCCTCAGGCCTGTAAGCAGAAACAAAGCCTGCAGGTAATGCTTCCAGATTTGTGCAGAGCATCCTTATTCCCAGAGATTGTCTTTGCTGACCTAACCACACCTGAAATTCTTTCAAATGGCTCCGTCTGGGTTGCCCCATATCTAACCATTCCTGCCTGCTGCAGAGCCAAGTTTCCTAAATTACCCTGGGAAAAAGGGCTATTGCTACTTCCCTTACTAAACTAGCCTTTTTAATTGAATTGGCATGAGGAAAGGGTTGGAAAAGAAGGGATTCCTTTAGCTTTGATGTAGAGATGGATTAGAAAGACTGGTCGTGTGTCACAGGGTAGTAGTAAAGACAGCAAAGTGCTATTCAACCTCCATTTCAATTCTTAACTGTAGAAATGAATTAGAAGGGTTTCCAGCACAGGAAAGGGAAAATGAATGAAGAACATCCCTAGGAGCTCAGAAGAATGTGTGGGTGGGGAGTCTTCCAACCTCCTGCCCGCAGGAGCGTTGCTTACTGGGTTTTCTGGATGCAGTCTGAAGGATCCTTCCACGTGGAGTCTGTGCACAAAGTCAGATTGTGGATAAGCTGGTGCAAAGGCACCTCTTGCAGGGGTTTTTCTGAGCCTCTGCAGTACCTCCCATGATAGACTCAGCCTATCCTCCCCCTTGCCTGTCTCATTGTCATTCCTAGGCGTCGCAATAGTGCTTTCAAAATGCTGCTTTTTTTCCAGTGCAGCATTGCAAAAGCTCATCTCCTGGGACACTTCTCAGCGGTGGCCACAAGCTGTCTGTCATCCCTAGGAGGAAAGAGGAGGCTGAGTGGTGTAACTGGTAGCAGCCTTGCTGCTGAAGTGCTTTTTGTAACATCAGCAGTATGTCTGGGGTTTGGACACTTGGCCTCACAAAGTGTCCTGGGCAGTGTTAAATGATGGGAGAACTCTTAATGCTTTGCTCACGTGTTGCTGGATAAAATTCTGGTGCACACTATAAAGAGGTCCCAAAACACCTGGAAGGTGTCTGCATTATGTGAAATATTGCCTCTAAAGCGTATCTGCTATGAGCATGCTTTGATAGACTTCCCTTTAAGGTGATGGGTGAAGGTGTGGAACTAGCTCTACCACCCTGGGGCTCTTGGTTAGCTGGGTGACCTCTTCCTTCTCTTGCAGAATGAGATCTTTGCATCCCGGCATCAGGACGAAAACAGTGTTGCCTGCATAGAGGAGAAATGCTACGTGCTGACCTTTGCAGAGTACTGCAGGTAGGTGGTGCTCTTAACTTGCTGCTGTTCCTGAGACCTTCATCTGTCTCCAGCTCTTGTCACTCTTTCCATTTCCAACCATCACCCAGCAGAACTGTCCCAGCTTTACAGACTTTGGTCTAGCTGGAGCTGGATGAATTACACTCACTCTACATACAAGTTTGGTACTGCAGTCTGTGGGTGCTTCTTCCACTCTAGCATTATTACGTCTCTGTTTTGTGTAATATATATGCTCTAAGGGGCTCGCAAATGTTTATGCTTGTATGACCTTGGTACCACAGCATGTGGACATCAGTGGAGGACGGTGCAGGAAAACCTGTAACTTGGAGCTAAAAACTAAGCAAGGCAGGAAATCATCCTGTATATCTATCCCCTATGGGACACAGGTTCCATAGCTAGCCAAAAGGCCTGCTGATACACTTTTGTTGGTGTTGCTACTAGACATTAGTGTATGTGCTCACAAATCTGGATGTTTTGGCAGCAGCATCGCTCCAAGTAGTGACTCGGGCCTTTACTGTTAAGCTCTGGTTGATTGAATTGAAACTTTGTCAGTAAGAACTTCCGAGCATCCATATTCAAGACTGCCATCCTTTGATGGATGGATGTGCAGGGCAGAATGAAAATAGGGGTTGGATGGACACACAAATCCATAATGCAAAATAGTGCTTTAAACCTCTTCAGTTTTGCTGAGTGCATCTTGTTGACTGTGCAGTCTTGCTGCAGAGGGGATGTTTAAACCCTAATGCACTCTTTTTAGTCCTCCTGTTCCTAGCCTAGTGCTCTGCTGTTTGAATTTCTGAAACCAAACTGTTTTACAAACTCTTTATAAGATGAATTTTGATCTTTCTTTTGGAAACTCTAAAAAACAAAACAACAAAAAAACCCAAGCCCAAAACCACAAAACACCCACCCCCACCCCATCTCCCTTGCCCCCCCAAAACCAAGCAACGAAAAAAAACAAACCCCTAAGCTTTGGATCCAAACAGCTTGTTTCCTTTCTAACAGCCTAGTCCTCTGGAATGGCTATTGGCAGGAATTTTTTCATGCTGTTGTGAGTAAGGTCACCTTTGAGAGGAAGGCATCCTGAATTCTTCATTTGCCTAAACAGCCTGATGTATAAGCCTTTTCTGGGGCTAATTAACAAAACGGAGGCCAAAGTAGTAAAAGCAAGGTGGACTAACTGCAGTCATCTTTCATACTGTATGGCATCCACCAGTATAGAAATGTAAACTGCTGTGCTGCTTCCTACAGTTCAGGGTGGGCTCAAAAGCAGTAGCTACTTCATGTCCTTCTCTTGAGCAAAGCTTAATTCCCCTCCGCACCCCTCCCCTTCCCCTTCCCCCCCTTGTCCTTCAGCAGCCACAGTTGTGGCTTCTGGTGAGACAGATTGACACAAACAGCGGAAGGTGAAACGAGTTTGTGCTAACTCTTCTAATGTAATTGCGTTGCAGATTTTGTGCCTTGGCAAAGCGTCGAGTCGAAGGGATCCCAGGCAGGAAAACAATTATGGTTCCTCCCTCAGAAGAGTACTCCACACCTCTGCACCGCAAGGTGCCTGAGGACACTGACCCTGAGCTGGTTTTCCTCTGTCGTCACGTCTATGACTTCAGACACGGGCGCATCTTGAAGAACCCGCAGTAGCACCATTCTTCAGTCGGACCGCGGTGAGGATGAGTGGCACCGGAGAGCCGACAGCAGGCGGATGGTCTGGGACATCTGTGCACTCTCAACAACTTACCTTGTGCTGCTTGCAGATGAGAGCGCCCAGCGCTCTTTCCTCGGACTGAAAAGTGTGCGCAGGAGCAGATCCCTGTAGAGGAAGGCAGCAGTTGAAAGCACAGCACTTCATTAAAAGCATAAATGAAAATATATACGTATAAAATAAATATATGTATATAGATATAGGTACTTGCATATGTAAATCTATATCTATATATGTATCTAGAGATGCATATATTGGGAGGGGTTTGCAGGGGATAAAAGCCAGTAAACTGAATCCAGAGCCATCGCTGGTGGGAATGGTGGAAAGGTGCAGGAGGGGTGCTTTGGTGCATTGTCTGAGTCAAGCTGTGACAGTTCTGTGGTTTTCGTGCCCTGATGTGAAGTGTGAGGACTGAGACCAGTTCCTTGGCAGAGCACAGGAGAGTCTTCTTTGTCCCACAGGACAGACTGTGAGGATTCCTGGTGGGTGAGATCTGCTTCAAAATACAACTGTTGCTTTGGAAGCTACCTGGATGCAGAGTGGCCTCGTGTCGTGCTTGAATAGGTTTTGCTCTGTCAGGGGGAGAGGTGACCCCTATTTTCCCTCATCTTTCCCTTCCCCTCACCTCACTGTTCTTTGATTCACTGCCTGGACTGAGCTTGGCAGCCAGGCTTGGAAATCTGCTCCATCGCAGAGCAGAGAGGGAGCTGGCAAGATCGTAGGCTTTACATCCCAGTGCAGTGTTAGAGAGCTGTGCCTCTGTCGCAGATGCCCTGACCTTGCCCCAAAGGATCTCGTGCCCCAAAAAGCGCAGCACCAGCAGGCGTGCGTTGCTCTGAAGCTGGGAGCACACAAAGTGGGCTCTGCTGGCGAGAACCATGTTTTCTCTTCTGAGTATTGCTTTTCCTCTAATGGCTTAGGGGGCCGTAGCGATAGAAGTGGGTTTACTCCTTCCCAGTTTGTTTTCATGTAACGTCATTTACAGTCCCTGTTTAACCCTATACATCTTCAGTGTGAAGAAGCTAGAGGCTGGAGGGTGAAATGGCAAACCCTTTTCTTGAGTGTTTTATGGCTTTTTAAAATTTTAACTTCCCTCCCCTGATGTGACTCTCCTGACCCTGGGCGTACTGTTGAAGCCATCAGCAGTGCTGTCTCAGCGCTGCCTTGCAGCCTCCCCCCCTCCAAACTCATCTTGGCGTCCGAGCAAGCTCACCAAAGTGGCTTTGTGGCTCCTGAAAGGAACTGAGCATTGGGAAAGGTTCGCATTGACAAATGTGACCCGAGCCCCACAGATATTGCCTCTTGCCTTACGTGTATAGATCCTAGATAGACGCTAGTTTATCTTAACGCAAACTGTTCGAGTTAATTCTAAAGCAAACCAAAGGACAGTGTAACAGTCCGTTTGAGTCACACCAAGCTGGGAGTCCATTTCTAGATTGCACTAACGTAAAGAAGGAGAATCAACACTATCTTGGCCCATGTTCCTGCTGGCTGGAGTTGCTCATTGAAACTAGGGATCTGCATTTTTCCAGTCTTTTGGGGCTTCTGAACTTGTGTTAAATGGTGGAAGTGTTCGTACTGCTTTAATGTTGTCCTGTCAGTGGAAGTAGCACTACCTGTACTCCCCGTGGGTGCCGGCACAGTGGGAACGGAGGGCTTGCTGGCTTGCTCTGATGGCTGCACACCTGCCTGGCCTGGAGAGAAAACCCCACAGCAGCAAATGCGTTACATGGAAATAGTTTGTTAATGCAGGAGTTCTCCAGAGATTTGCTCTACATACCAAAGAGGGGAACGTGTCTAGAAGATGATGACTTGAGAGGAGAAGACAAGATATGGCACCTGCCCCGGTGGGCGAGCAGGGCACATGTCTCCTTGCTGTCCGTGGATGATCCCTGCTCAGTGTTGCCAAGGATGCTGGAAAAGCCCTATTTATTCTTGCTTGCATAGCCTGGGGGAAAACCCCAGCTCCAGGAGGTTTGATCCTAGGTGTGCAAGCACGAATTTGCGGGTGAAGCGTCTTATCTCATTTATACCTCAAGATACTGTTAGTGTCAAAGTAATTGCTCAGATTTCTCCTTAACAATTAACTTGGGCACTGGTGGTCTCTTGGAACGATGCGGTTGGGCTGCTGATACGGTGGTGCTGTATCAGGATGGGAGTCAGGAGCGCTTCTGGGGGTCTCAGATGAAAGTGCCACGGGGATGCAAGGAGGTGTTGGAGAAAGCGGTCTCTCATGCTGCCGGGAGAGGATGTTAGGCGGCTCTGCTCTTCAGCAGGGAGGGAGGATGCTGGAGAAGCAGAGCCGCTCCTGCCCGTTGTGAAAGAGGGGATCGTGGCTGCCCAGGGCAGAGCGGTGCGGGAGGGGAACAGAGCAGCTGCACCCTGGGGCCGTGGCACACGACGGTGGCGTGGGAAGCCCTAAATGCACGTGCTTGACTTGGCAGGGACTCCTGTGACACCCAGCCAGAAGCAGGCAAGCTGCCTGCGGCTGCCTTCCTCTAGCAAAAGTGCCATCAGATGCAGGATGCTTCAAGACCCACCTGCCAGGCAAACCCTGAGCTTTGCTGCACAGTCAGGGAAGGGTTTGAAACCCAGCCTTGGAAACCACAGTAACTCGCTGCAACTCCTTCTTGTGACCCCTCTCCCCCCTGCTCCCACCTTTGTCCTGGCTCCTCTCCAGGTAGAAGAGAAATTGTACTTGCCCTGGGTCTGGAACGGGCTTTGGCCTGTGCCTGGAGAGGACAAATCCTGACTCTTCTCATGTTAGAATCTGCTTCAGGCCAAGAACGTTGTTCAAGATTCACGTGGTTGCTTATGCTGTTGTGCAAACAGCATGTAAATGAATTGAAATGTCTTATCCATAATGAAAATATTTCATGCTTTTTTAATCTATTAGATATGGAAATATTTTTTGAAACTGAAAATGCAGTCGGTAGAATTTAAATTGAAACGTAATACATGTAAAATATATTTTAGTTGATAATTTTGTAAAATGCACTTTTTTGTGTCTCTTCCCTGGTTTCCCAGATCTGTATTTCAGTGTTTACAGATGGAATGAGAACATTCCCTATACCCTCCTTCTGTGAGAAAGATATATTAGAAGTAATTCTTAAAAAATAAATTTGAAAAATCGTATTGATTTAGAAAACAAACCAGTGCTGCGCTGTTCTTCTATTCCTTGCCTGAACTTCCCACTTGGATCTGTTGGGGTACAGGACTTAGAAGTGCTTGGAAGGTGCCAGTGTGGGAGCAGACTTGGGTGCTCAGGGTCTTGGGGTGAGCGATCTGGACGCAGCCCAGAGCTGAGCTACTGTTGGCTTTTCCAGTGAGAACAGAGCAAGCGGAAGGACAATCTGCTGCAGCTTGACTTATTTTTTTTCCAATTTGCTCTTGACAGCTGCTGTCATAGGAATATTTAAGCCCCTGCCTTTTAGGCAGGAAAGGCGTTGGTGGCAAAGCTTGTCTCTGCAAGGCTTGGTGTATCAGCCTGTGCTTTAGGAGGAAGCATTTTGTAATGTTGCTTTTGGAAAAGCATCTCACTGGGAGCGCTGTCCCTGGAAGCCAGCTGACAGCTTGCTTGGTGGCATTGCCATCGTCTTCTGCCATCAGAGTGTCCTGGCCCTGTGGCACCAAAGGCTACACCCCCCCTCCGCGGACGGGTCCGACAGCTGTGCAGTCTACACGGACATCCCAAAAACGCAAGGAGAGGCCCAAATGGGAGCAAGAGCAGAGAGGAATAAAATAACCTGCTTGAAACCATGCAGCAGGGTCAGCACCTCTGTGAGGAATGGGGTCTGGGTTGCCTGATGGGAATGTCTGCATTTAAACACAGGTGAGAGCTGTCCGCAGGTGCTGAGCTTGGGGCGCTTACAGGTCTTGGGGTGCAAGGCCAAAGCTGCTGGTGTGTGCAAGAGGTGTGCAAAAGGATTGCAAGTGCTCTTGCAGACTCGTCCTCGATGAGAACAGCTTATGTGGTCCCTGGATGGTGGCACAGCCGTTTCCCACGCAGTCCCTAGCAGTTGCTCCTCTGGAGCTGTCTCATGGGCTGTGCGCTACTGCTTGGTAAGCAAAATGGCTTTTTCAAGGTTTCCTTAGTGGCCCTGAGTGAACCCGGGGAGTTCACCACCCATGAGGGAATCTCTCTGAACAATAAAACAAGTGCTGTAAGGCTCCCTGCATATCTGGGAACTGTCTGGTCCAGCCTTGCTCACTTGGCTGTAGTTAGCTTTGTGTTTTGACTGCCTTATCTGTTTTCTGCAGCCCTAACTGAACGCTTCACAATTTCTAGCTGCCTCCCAGTTTCCAGGAAAGGCTCCTCTTGGGCTTTCATGATTTTTCACTCCCTGCTGAGACGGTGTTTGCAGCTTCCTGGGGCTGTGGCCCCTCTTCTGGTGTTGCCTGTGCTTGCGCTGGGGATGCTCGGCACGGCCAGGGAAGGGTCCCGTTGCAGGCGTTGGGGAATTCACCCTGAAACCACAGTGACCTCGGTAAGGGCTCGGTGCCCTTCCTACGACCAGGCTGTGCTGAACATCCGCACGCGGGTGGGCGCCGAGGGGTGGGGAGGCGACGTGGTTTAGTTCTTGGCTGGGCGGCTGGCCCTTGGAATTGGCTATTTCTATAAATAATCCTGCGTATTAATTAGAGCTGGACCCTTGCACGCCTGGGGAGGGAGAGAATGAGTTCTGGGAACAAAACGAGCAGAAAGAAAAAGTAATGTCTGTTAACAACACTGAATTAGCTCCTAATTATAGAGAGGGGAGCGAGTGGCAAGTGTGGCCTGTGGGATGAATGCAGATGGGCTGGGCACGGTCACCGCATCCTTAACACAGGCCTCGGATCCCAGGCTGCTGTCTCATCGACCCGGGGAGCGGTGCAGCAGCAGAACTGGGTTTTGCAGCGTCTTTCAGTCCCAGGTTGTCTTGAACAGGAGATTTTGAGATTGTCCCGTCAGGGGTGCAGGGAGCTGGGCCTGCAGCTCCCAAGCTGCTTTAGTTGCTGTCCCCTCATAGCCCTGCCAGCATCGTAGCCTGTTTTTATTAAGTTCCCGGTTGGACTTCATGGGATTAGGGTTTTTGCTAGAGGATCCCTGCCTTTTGCTTGTGATGTGCCCATCACATTTAATGAGGAGCCTTGTTAGAGCACAGCTCCTCTCAGGGTACTGCGGGCAGGTTAGGCACAAACCTGGAGAAGCGGATAAAAA